CTTAAAATTGTGCATTGTCCCCAATGCACAACATAACCATAAGAGGGTAAGAGAAACTCCCTGGTAGGCCAAAGGCCGAAGCACTAGCAGTTCATGGGGTACTCAGACTTCTCCCAGGCTTGGTCCTTCGTGCGGGTACCTCACACTTAGTTCCAAGCATTTGATTTGCTGTTGCATCCTTCCAATAGCTTTGCTTTCCACGCTCCTAGAAAATAAAAAATCGACACTACAAGAATAATACAATTAAAAATAAATAAATAAAAAATAAATAAACGAAAGCAATAAAGCAGGGTTGCCTCCCAACAAGCGCTTGATTTAACGTCGCGGCACGACGCGAATCACTTTTTTGCCTCCACCTCGAGCTTATGAATTGAACCCCAAGTTTTGATTCAAGCTTATGATTATGGTCATGGGGCGGTGGAACGAATCTAACTGGCACAAGGAAATAATGTAGTATTCTGCACTCCTTGGCCTTTGTATGAGGTATGTAATTCTGACTTTCTGGCAAGAAGAATTCCAGAATATATGCACCTTGTTCCTCATTCCTTGACTCTTCGATTGGTTCAGATGACTCTATTTCCATATCATCATCCAAACATAATGTGGAAAAATGTTTGGAGTGTGGACCAATGCGCTCAAACACATGAACTTCAGGACTCTCAACATCCTCAACATCAGTGATACTAGAGTCAACAAAATTCATATCCTCAAAGTCCTTGGCTGGCTCTAGTCTCACTTCTTCAACATTGACATCCTCAAATTGTGGTTGGCTAGTTTGTTGATGTTCTACTCTGACCTCCCCAATTAACACCTCAAATTCATGCTCTTCTTGGCTGCTATCCTCAATATTGGCTTGTTGAGCATTAAAAGCTCCAACCACTTGACTCAATTGAGCCTCCAACTTGCGAATAGTTGCCTCTTGCCTTTCTATGTGCAATTGTTTCTCATTGTTTTGTTCCAGAAGACACTTTAGCATATCCTTGATCTCCTTCAGGTCCGCATTCCCAGGTTCTTTGTTCCTATTAACTTCACAAGAAAAGGTAGAACCATCATAGTAAGGGGTTGGGGAAAAATAAGAAATATAAGCACAACCATGAAGGTGATCATTTTTACCACCACACACATCACACACATTCCACAAATAAGATTGAGTTGGTGCACATAACTCGCTCTCAGGAACGCTTTAAAAATTTTGCGACGGGTGGTTTCCTTTACAATATGTACGGAGATCAATAGTAGAATTATCTACACCTAAATTCCCATAATTCCAAGATGTCATGTTTCTCAAATCAACAGTTATAAAAAAAATACCAAGAAAAAAACAAAATAAAATAAAAGTTCAAACTTGAACCCTAGCAATATATACAGCTACAACTACACCGTTAGTTCCCCGGCAGCGGCGCCAAAATTCGATCACGCCCAACTCTAGTCCTAAAAAGGATAAGCGGTCGCTGCAAATATAATCCGGTCTAAAAGTCCGGAGTCGAATCCTACAGAGAACTAAAGTTTCGCTGTAATTGTTCAATATCGCAAAGAAGACAAGTTTGAACAATTTCTAAATTATAAAATTAAGATTTTTATATCTAACTAATTAACCAACAAATACAATAAAACGGTAAAATTATCAACTAACGAGACAAAGGTTTGGAGACTAAATTAAGGAGGTCTAGAGTTATGATTTCCCCAATTGTTGATTTCATTAGTTGTATGTTTCTTATAGCTTTGACTTAGTTGCCTCTATCAATCATGAACTCTCCAGCTATCATAAATCTCTCTCAAGCAATTATGATAATTTACTAGACGCACTCTCTCAAGCTACGCTAGCTAGATTCTCATTACAGTTCACTTAGATCGCACCTGAGGTATCGTTATCTCTAATCCAACCTCTAAACCCTCGGTTATGACTCTCGCCTATACTCCGGGAGTGATGTTGTTCAAACAACTACCTAAATATGCACTCTCTCTCAAGCAGATACATAATAAATAGGAACGGCTAATTGAGGATCCTTTCGATTAACCGAAATCAAAACGTTGTTGGACAAATAGAGATTAACAACTAACTCAAAACTATATTAATATAACAACCAATACATCCCCAAAAGGTTCCATCAAAACTCTAGAAAACGAATTAGCTTTTCATAAAAGTATGTGAAAACACAATACTCTAATTCATAACCAACAATAAAATAGGAAGAAGAAGGGGAAAAATTCGTAGTTGAATCTTCCTCCTTGCTCCTAGCATGTGGGTGTTGTCTAAACCTAAAGTAGTGTCTCTCCCTTCAAAGTGGTGTTGTAGGATGTATTTATATGACCTAGGGTTGATGAAGGGCGGAATTCTTCAATCCCATCCGCGTCTGCCTTCGCGTCTAGACGCGGACTTTGACGCGGATCCGCGTTTGCCTTCGCGTCTAGACGCGGACTTTGACGCGGATCCAGCTTTTGAAATTCTTCCATTTTGCGAAGCGCTCCGTGCCTTTGCTTCGCTTCGCTATTTTGTGCCTTAACTTTTCTCCTTTTTCGTGTCCGACTTCGTGCCACGCACGAGAATAGACGAGCTCCCACTCCTTTAGTTTCTTCTTTTTGTGTCGAATTGTCATCTTTTGATCATTTATCATCCAAACTCGTTCCTACATATAAGAAACACATAACGAGTATATTTCACTTTGAAAATCATGTAATCTCCCGCGACACACACAAGAATTAATATGCAAATATACTCAAAAATATGCATTTTTCATCATTTATCAACACCCCACACTTAAACTCTTGCTCGTCCTCGAGCAATCAAACTACACTTTTTTTATAGACACGACTTTTTTAAACAATTCTCCTAACTCATCACACCAAGAGTATTTAAAATAGACTAAGCACAAAAGCATAACATCTTCACCTCAAGATTTGACTCATAAGTACCACGCATTATTCACAACTCACCCACTTACTCTAACATAGAGGTCACTGACATTACCTTTCCTTCATGAATCAAGTGCCCTCACATAACAAAAGAGAGTAGTTCCACACAATAAAATTTAAGAACACTTAGGAACTCAAGATAGAAAGAATTCACTCACTCTCAGAAATAACATTCATATGCCACAAAAGATGCACCATAAGCTTGCCTGTAGTGTACTACTCCACTAATCGAGCTCATTCAATCTAGGATCAATTAGGACTTTATTTGGTTGTTATGTAGGCTAGGGACGGGTAGGATATATTTAGATATAAGAGTGACTACACCTCCCTAAGCACTTTTAAATACATATACTTTAACATTCAAACCTCATACTTATGTCAAAACCAAACTCCACCTTCACATTAATGTTATATTACCCATACTTCTTTAAGCACAATTACAGCAAGAGTCACCACTTATTAAAGAAATGCTTTTTTTCACAGCAATACAACTATATTTTTTTTTCAATTCAAGTGGCTCTTACTTGTTCAAAAACAGTGCAACTTTCTCCTGATTTCATTAGTTCCACTCAAAAGCCAAACCAACACCCCACACTTTAACTTTTACATAAATCATCACAATGCAAGTGCTTATGAGAGGTTAAAAGGTTCAAATATAGATAGTCCATTCAAAACAATTGGGTAAGACTTGTAATGTGTTGCCAAAGAAATAGAATTAGAGGCTCAAATGGGTTAACTACGATACATAACAATTAGGCGGTAAAAAATACTTATCTGGCTCAACAAAGAAATGCCTATATCACTTCCTAGACTGAACAAAACTACTATTTCGCTTTGCAAACACACGGGGCAAGTTCTAGGCATCAAATGCAATGCACAGAATAACACCCAAACCTCACACACACATGGCACATAACTCACTCAGGATTGGATTCATCAAGACACTCTAGTCAAGCAGTTAAGCAAATTTAAAATCATACAATTTAAGGTACTTATACAAGAGTCAAAAACTGAGCCTAAGTGTCACAACCAAAGTACTCACTATTCTCAAGGCATAACAAAGTCAAGAGATATTGCTTCAATTCAAAACAAAACACAATGGCTCCTATTTCCTAAAAAAAAAAAAACTAACTACACCCGGTTCAAAATAAAACCTTGGAAAAGAACCGTAGTTTAAAGAAAAACCAAGGGGAATTGCAAAACACTTTGGGTTTGTTAATTTTTTAGAAGAAATAATTAAATTCTTGAAGAAAATAGTCATGACAATGTTGGGTATTTGGAGGGGGAGGGGAGGAGCACATGAACGTAAGGGACTTAGGAAAGGGGGTGAGGAGAGTAGCATAAAATATTTTTTCCTAAAAAATATTTTCTACTCTCTAACCAAACACTAGAAATATTTTCCGGAAAAAGAGTTTCACTCTCCAATCAAAACAAATAAAAATAAGTGATAAACCACTCATTTTCCATGAAAACATTTTCCTTTCGCCCAAACACACCCAACTTAAACGTATAGTTCTAATCAAACCAGCATCTAAATTAGGATCAAGGGAGTATAGACTTTCTTGTTTCCTTTCTCCTATTGTTTCTTTCTTTTTATTTTGTTTTAATTTCTAATATGTCTCTCCTGCTTTTCTTATTCATTATAATTTGTGCTTAAATATTTATATGATCCATAACTAACCATGTTATACAATTAATCATGTAAGACGGATGAAGAGCAATATACAACCAAGTCATGAGGAGTCAACAGCTTCAAACTTCTTCAGAACAATTTATGAAAATAATAATATTTTACTATATATATAGAAATACTTAATTTGAAGAGGAAACCGTTAAGAAATATGGAAGGAGGCCAGAAATCCAAATTCAATTTGTGCAGAGTTTCAACTATTCCTAAGAAACTCTGCATTTTGTGACTTTCACCATTTGCCTTTTGCAACATGTTTATAGACAGCACATTTACAACTACCCTTCTCTACTCGAGAGGTCGGTCACCTTATTGCCCCTCCCCATATCCCACTTCAACCCCCTTCCCCCCCCCCCCCCCCCCACAACACACACACAAACAAATACTATAAATTCAAGCCCCGCAAAGCATCTCACTCCGTAGTTACAATTTTAGTCTTATTACTATTCTGGCCATAGCATTGCACCTCATTTTTTTACTTCTCTTAAATTAAGAAATAGTACAAATGGCCTTTTCTGTAGGGAAATCTTTTGGACTTTCCACAACTTTTGATCCCCTGCAACAAAATATTTTCAGTACTAAACCTTATGTTTCATCATTTTTCTCCAAGAAAATTACTCTACAAAAGTGTGACAAGGCCAATATTCTGTCCAAAAAGCCTCTGTATATTACAGCAGTGAGTGGATTTGGGCATGTTGATGAATCAAAAGAGTCAAAATATAGGGACAAATTGGTCCAATGCAATGCTTATGAAGCAAGCAGACCACAGTCAATACCAATTAGCATTGATTTTGATCAAGAAACTCAAGCTGCTGCTGCTCAGAAGCTCAAGATTGGGCTTTATTTTGCAACATGGTGGGCATTAAATGTGGTGTTCAATATTTATAATAAAAAGGTTTTAAATGCCTTCCCATTTCCATGGCTTACTTCTACTCTTTCACTTGCTGCTGGCTCTCTCATTATGTTGGTTTCTTGGGCTACTAGAATTGCTGAAACTCCCAAAACTGACATTGATTTTTGGAAAACTTTGTTTCCTGTAAGTAAATAATGATATATATATATATATATATTGTTTTTTTAAGGTTCATTTTTGGACATTGAATTCTTATAATGTGTTTTGTTTTGTTAATAGGTTGCTGTGGCACATACAATTGGACATGTGGCTGCAACAGTAAGCATGTCAAAAGTTGCAGTTTCATTCACACACATAATCAAGAGTGGAGAGCCTGCTTTCAGTGTTTTAGTTTCAAGTTTGCTGTTGGGTGAAACTTTCCCATTGCCAGTTTACCTTTCACTTCTGCCAATAATTGGTGGTTGTGCACTTGCTGCTGTTACTGAGCTCAATTTTAACCTAATTGGTAATTTACAAATCAATCTTGTTTTAGTCCCAAGTTTTACTTTTCTTGATTTAGCCATTTAATACTCGAAATTTATTGGCCCGACTAATGCACATTCACACCACCTAGGATCCCCTAAAGGGAAGCACTCCCGAATAGGCTTGAACTCGAGACCTCCATTCATTCATGGCAATCGTCTAGTAAGGAAGAAGTGAGCTCTAGCATTAGTCTTAGTACGCCCACTCCGACCTATGGCTTTTTGATGATTACGATCACACAAAAGCTGAGAGTGGTTAAGAGTGCAGGAATCTTATTCATCCCACTGTACTACTTAGTAGTAGTCGTCAAGTTTAAGACTTATATGAGATTTATGTTGCTAATAATGCCACTCTTGATGTTAATAACATGCAGGGTTTATGGGGGCAATGATATCAAACTTGGCATTTGTATTCAGAAACATATTTTCAAAGAAAGGGATGAAGGGGAAGTCTGTTGGAGGGATGAATTACTATGCTTGTCTTTCCATTATGTCTCTTTTGATTCTTACACCCTTTGCCATTGCTGTGGAGGGTCCACAAGTATGGGCACTTGGTTGGCAGAATGCAGTCTCACAAATTGGTCCTAATTTTGTATGGTAAGTACAATACTTTTACTAATACATTAATATTTGGTTTTAATATTCCCTAAATTTAATTTTTCAAGTTAGCTTCTTGATGACTTTAGATTTTACTTAATGAAATGGAAATGATATTAGATCTTTGAATAATTATGTTGATCAGATGAAGGTTTGATATTGACATAAGAACAGAAAATCATATACAAATTCTAAGTACCAACTTGCTGTAGGATCTCATGTCACTTTCAGTTTCTTTTAACTGCAAATACAAATGTCTTCTCACATGTTACCATTTGGCATTATGCTCATAGTTTATACTTATTGCATATGTGGTTCTGGTGCAACTTGCAGGATCTTTAAAAACCTAAAAGAAAAGTGAAGATTTGCAAGATTTTGTTTGGTCAATTCTTAGACTTGAGTTTTTGTATATATGTATCATTTGTCAGTAGTCTATATAACAATATATAAACTTATGGTTCTTGAAATTGCTCTTGGTTTAGGTGGGTTGTGGCCCAGAGTGTGTTCTATCATTTGTACAATCAAGTCTCCTACATGTCCCTAAATGAGATCTCCCCATTGACATTTAGCATTGGTAACACTATGAAGAGAATTTCAGTCATAGTTTCCTCCATCATCATATTCCAAAACCCAATTCAACCAGTGAATGCCCTTGGTGCGGCCATTGCAATTTTTGGAACTTTCCTCTACTCACAGGTAAAAATACATTCATATGTTTTGTATTGTTGTCAATGTCAATGACTTTTCATTGTTAGTCTGGTACCTATGTTGCTTGTACTCTCCGAAAATATAGCCAGGTGCGAGTCGTATCCTCCAAAAGTAGTGCATTTTTGGAGGATCTGACACGGGTACGACAACATTTTGGAGAGTCCGTGCAATGCAGCTGGGACCAATAAAGATCCAAATGAATCTAGCACATTTACAACTTGTTGCTTGTTTTCATCCTTGGTACCATCACTGCACTCCATACTTTGACAACTAGACTTGTGACAACTCAATACAAACCATAACATCAATTTTGAACCTTTTTTTTTAATTAGTTTTGTCCTTATGATTTTCATGCAGGCAAAGCAGTAAGAGAAGTTTGGCTAGAGAGTTAAGTGGAGAAAGGGGAGATACTGACTTGAGCCGTTAGGAATTAAAAGATGGGCAGCAGTGGACTAACATTTTGTAATAGAAGATTGACATTGACTTTTAAAATAACTATAGTAAATATAAGAGGCAAATGATCATGAATGAATGACTATGGCTTTCTTAGTGATGGAAAAGTTGAGAAAAGAAATTAGTGCTGCCCTTTCCCAGCTGCAAACTTCTACACAAGATTTTGTACTATATAGCACTGTTGTATGAAGTGCTTGTAATGATTAATTTATTATTCCTTATTATGATTGTAGATTTTGTAATATACTCATATATATGTTTTTTTTTTATGTGCTTGGAGTTGTAATTAATATTATGCACCTTAACTTGCAAAAAGTTATTTTAATTCGTTGAACTGACCAAACTGGGCTTGGCAACAGTAGCCAACAAGTTATATGCCAATACAAAGATAATGTCCCTTTCTAGTAGTCAAAGGGCAAAATTGAATGAAACAAATTTTGACTATTAATTAATACCAAATGTCAGCTTGACTCGTTTGCTAAACCAAAAGCTATTCAACCTTAAATTTGGAAGCGAAAACTTTCATTTTTATTCAAACTTTAGTGCTATAGCTCCATTCGCCTCTGGGCAAAATGCTATTATTTCCCCTTTGCTATTAAATAATAGGTTGTGTAGGAAGACGCCCAGTTGAAGTTTAACTTAGGAAGACAAAATGTTTTTGGTCCTTTTATATGTATACATAGAACTGTTACATACCAAGTATTTTATTGAAATGAAATTTCTAATAAAATCTTTTTGTTTAACATAACCCTCTTCGATCAGAAATGCACCTTCTTATTAGAAGGTAATTGCAGATTGCCCAAATTGATCGCCAAAAAGTACACTGTTTGATCCAGAAGAACTATATAATAGCCTTTGGCCAAATTTATTTTGATTTTTTTTCTTCTCAAAAGTGCTTTTCAAAAAAGTAATTTTTGTGAGAAATAGTTTGTGTTTGGCTAATTCATTTGAGAATTAGTTTTGAGTAGCAATTAGCCATCCATGATTTACCAACCCCAATGAACTAATGGAAATGTTGGGCCGTCGCCCACTTACCCCGCCAAAGGCCCATTACCACACGCTGAATTTAGGGATTTTTACATATATATATATATATATATATATATATATATATATATATATATACATTATTGGAAACTTTATTACCCTCCCTATTCAAGTTTCACTTTAATTACCTCCTATATACAAAATTACCAATTATGTACATTTTTAGGATTTAAAGATAATTAATCAATTCCTACAATCACTGTAACGTACAAATCCCACTCCCCCCACGTTTCTCTCTCTGTATCCCACTATCCCCACGTTTCTCTCTCCCTACCCCTAGCATATCTTCAGTATCTCCCACCTTTAGCGCCTGTTTTCACTCGTCTTTCAAAAATTCCTCTACAGTTTTGATCTCTTCTTCAAAATCCTTATCTACCAAAATTGTAGTTGCTTAAATTTTTGCTTAATTTTCAATGAAGAAGAAAACATTCTCGAAGATTAGCCCTAAAAAAGCTAAAGCAGGTGATATTCCTACTTTTGATTTGGGTGTTTTCTCACAGGATTCACCCAAAAAAGTTTCAAAATCGGAACAATGCAAAAGCAGAGACCAAGCCCAGGCTTTCCCCTCGTGAAGCTAGGGCAGAAACTCGAACAAAACAGAAGCACGATAGGGATGCTAGTGAAGCCTCGACGTCTGTTAAATCTGTAAAACGAAAGGGCAAAGAAATTGCTTCCGATGATGATTTTGTCAAAGAAGAAGTTATCACGAAAGTTGCAAAAAAAAGCAGAGTTTCTCCTAATGTTAAACCTTCAAAAAAGAAGAAGGTTCAAAAATCAGCTAAAAATGTATCCCAACAGTCATTGGAGAAGGTACTATTTCAGTAGTTTCAATTTTTTTTTTTTTTTTGTAAAGCTAAAAACTTGTTCTCCTTCTCGTGAACATACATAATTTTTGTATTTTTGTATTTGTAGATATTTTATCTACATTGTGTAGATTTGTTGTAGGTTAACAAATTTTCTTCATGTGTTGTCTTCTTGTAGTATAAATATAGTTATGCTGTTATCTGATTTTGAAACAAGTTTATTAACTTGCTGTTTCTTTTACTGTAGAATCGAAAGTTTTTTGCACCATATGATTTTGATTATGGCTCACCAGGTTCCAGACACTATGCGACCCTGCTATTTCTGGCTAAATCAAGGAATTACTGTCTGAAAAAGGGTTAAAGCTGTTCAAGAAGACATGTTTTGGGTATTTTCTTTCCTTGCCAAAAATATGTATCCAAAATCAAGCAATTCACCTTCTTATGAAGTATGAATTGAATGCACCTTGTTCCGACTTTTTCACAAAAGAGACAAAGGGTGAGAGGTTGAATTTTGGGTTGAGAGAGTTTGCCCTGATTAGTGGCCTTAGATGTTTTATAGAAGTGACGGACTTTGATTACACAACTACGTATGACAGTAAAATAATGAGGAGCTATTTCCCGAACAAGAAAAAAGTTGAGAGGTCATACTTGAAACAAATTATAACCAGCCGTAGTTGGGTGAACGATGAGGATGCAGTCAAGCTTTGTATTCTCTATCTCATCGAATTCTTCATATGTCCTTCAGACAAAGAGAATTTAGGTTTGATAGACCATTTGAGGTTCTACTTGGTGGACTCGGGGCAGTATGCGAACTACGCATGGGGTATCCAATCTTATACACATTTGCTTGAGTCCGTTCGGCACAAGCTCAACCCTTCTGTGCATTTTTATCTCATTCGAGGTTTTGCTCTTGCTATGCAGATATAGTTGTATGAGTGTTGCTTTATGGTCAACACGGATATAGCTACAAGATTTGCTAATTCGATCCCCTGCGTACTGAACTAGACATCTAGTAAGGACAAGATATGGTTATCTGCATTGGAAGATAGAATGATCAAACAAACATGGATCAAGGTAAATGATTTTCACTTCTGCGCACACAATTTAATACAATTTATCTACAGAATCAATACATATTATGAGTCGGTCTCTCACATTTTTTTCCACTCAGTTCACCAACATAATTGAAGCACCAAAAGAGCTTTCAAGAATGAATTTGCCAGATAAAGTTGAATACATCCTTGTAAAGGATGAAACAAAGTCCGAGCATCCGACAGATTCTCCATCTCCATCCGGTCATAAGCAGACAATTGGAAAAGATGAAAAGAAAGATATTCTGAAACAAATTAAAAAATCAAAAAAAAAAGATGTTGATTAGTTAACATCTATACATAATCCTAGATGGTTTGTTTAATTTATGTTATGCAAATTATTTTGTTAACTCTTTCTATTTTAATACGTAGATAGGTTCAGACCTTGGAACTTTCAAAAAAGATGTTTTTAAAGAATTAGGTAGCATTCGACTGCTACTCAAAGATTCAATCAAGGTTGTTTTAGAGGCGATAAACACTCAAAAGGATAACATTGATGCTAAGGTTTCATTTGAAATATAGTCATTTTAGATAACAATTTTTACAATTTCTAAGTATCTATTATCATTCATAAAAGTATATAGCCTAATAAATTATGCTTGCAGTTTACTGGCATATTTATGAAAAATGATGAGCATTGCAAAGAAAAGAACAATCAACACATTCCGGACAGTAGTGCTAAACAAGTGTTGGCCAGCAGTAGTAAAAAAAGTATCTACATTATCTTTACATTATATCTACATATATCCGAAATTACTAACAACAAATCTACGTTATATTTCCAATGATTTTCTTAGATACAGGACACCTGAATGACATTCAAATTGAGGAAAATATTCTTATAGGTGTTGATTTGTCTTCCAAATTTGAAGGGGAATTTGATGAAGAAAATGCAGGTATGATTTAGTACATGTTATCATCATATTTCACAATTTTCATATCAAATGCAGAACAATATTTTTACAAATTTACTATACTTTTACTATAATTTATCTACATTTTTGTTAATGTTTTCTACAAATTAATTAAGTTGCGCACATTTATTGTAACAGAGAAGGAAACTATGCATGTGGACTCTCCAAACAGGAAGCTAATATTGGCATTCCAGGAGGGCATTTAAATGAGGAGAAGGAGACAACAAAAATTCAATTTCCCATTCAACAAAAAAACGTTATACAACCAGGAGACTATTGCTGTGGTATTATATGTTACATTACAGTTGTTGGGAAAAAAAAGTTTTGACAATTTGTTTCAATTTTTCATAAAGAACTGATGCAACATGTCTTCTTATTCTTTTGTTTTAAATTTTGAAGGTGAATCAACCGACTACATTAATGTAGGTGATTCAGATGGCTGCAGATCTGAAAAAGGGAAGTAACACTTGATGATTTTGAGTTACCAGAAAACTTTTTCTAGATTGTTAAGTTTGGCGAGTCTATCCAAGATGACACAACCCCTGCTTTACAAGGAAGAACAAGGCAGCCTAGAAAGCATGCTAGATCCCCCTTTCTCCCTTTTTACAGTTCTGGGGGGAGCACTTCAGGAGGACCTCCAATTTTCCTCATCAAGCATCCATTTACTGGGGTTATTAGCGATGATGTTGATCCTGACTTGTTGGAGGAATTCAATAAGTGGTTATACTCTGGTACCGACACGGTGTCAAAGAGGTTAGATTATACAAGTTTTCATATTATCGAGTTCATACAATTTTTTGATTTCCAGTTGAATCAACATATTTATTATTATTGCTATGTGTTTAAATAGGAGGAAGGCGCCTTATTATGTAAAAGATAACCAGCTTAAGTCGTGGTATGATCTTGGAGTGGAGAAAGTTGATAAAAAGGAGTGGTTTTACACTTTAGCACATCCCGGACAAGTCCTCAACGACACGGTAAACACATACCCTGGAAGAATGTAATGATTTGCTGTAGTATTCTATTATTGGAGAATATTGTAGTTTTTTTGTTTAAAAGTGTAGTTAATTTGTTTGAAGTATTAAGAAATAATGAACTCTGTTTTTTTTTTGTAGCACATTGATGTTATTTATACTATTTGAGGAAGGGAGGAAAGTATGGTCCTGTGAACAAAACACGGTTTACAACCACTGACTGTATTTTCAAGACTAGAATTGAACAAATTTATCAAAGATACATTAATGCTCCGAACGATAAGAAGCTTGCTGTTGTCAAACCCCAGGACGTCGTATCAGAATACATATTGGGGTACATGCTACTTGCAAATGTTGCATGGGATCAAGTTGATTTTGTGATTATGCCAATAAATATTGTGGAAAATTTTCATTGGTTGTTGGCTGCGTTTGACATTACCGAAAAGGTTCTATATGCTTATGATTATATGGTCTCTTCACACAATCACATCCTTGTTGAATCTATTGTCAATAAATTTGCAACTATGATCCCCCTATACTTGTCATGCACCGGCTTCTATGGCAAGCATTCAAAAATCAACTACAAGAATACAAAGGCATACATTAAAAATGTGTTACTGAACCTCTTGACATTCAGTGGTTGGTCGGTGAGATACCCCAGCAAAAAGAGGGATCACTGTATGAAAAAGCTGTTTTTCCTTCTATTTATTTAACAAATTTTATTCAACCACTGAATGCTAAATCTTTTTCCCTAATTTCTTTACAGTGATCGTGGTGTATACGTTGCGGCATTTGCTGAATATGTCAGCATTGGAGAGCTATCGATTTCAAAGGAAGACCTTTCTGATATTGATCAACATCGTAGACGCTATGGAGCTCTACTTTGGGATTATGCTAGGAAAAAGCAAGAGATTGGTGCAATTAGTAATAGTGAGGTGACTGGCAGATTAGCAAGAAGAAAATGTGCACTAGCTGCGAATGAGAGAACACAAGTCCGGAAGAAGAAGAAGAATTTGTTTCCCTATTCTGTAGAAAAATTGTAGTTAAAATGTATTGGTGTAGTGGGTTTGTAGTAAAGTTGTAAACAAATTATTAACTTAGAACAAGTCTAGCAGATTTGTGCTACAATTGTTTTACCTTTTGTTTGTTATTTTGTCCAGAAAACTACTACTTTAAATCGAAAACACTATTGAGAGCCTTTTTTGGTTCACGATTGTCAGTACTTTATTCTACTACTTTTGTTTTGTGTTGTTACCCTTTGCTTCATTGTTTTTAGCATATAATTTCCTTACAACTTTACTACATTTATGATATTTCATTATGTATTAAGTCAGTGGGTTGGGGAGATATTTATATCCCTAGGGTGCGGATTTGCAGATGTTCCTCATATGATTAGTCTGTCTAAGAGTGCTGCAACACTTGCTGATTTTACAGTTGAGTTATGTGAAACTGGGAATGTCGTTCCCATTCTCTTACTGTTGCTGTGATGAAGCCACCCTAAGGATGTTGGATCAAGAAATGTAGTTCAACAAAAAAACTACAAACCAATTGCATTAAGAGTTGAAAATATTTCATTATAGGAGACAGTCTATATTCAATTTATGAACAGAATTACAACTCAACTGTAATTCTCCAGAACACCTCAATACAATCTATCAAAAAATTATAGTTACTTTATCAATTTTTATTTTCTTTTGGGTGCATTCTTACAAGATCTTTTGTTATGCCCTTCTAGCCCACAGTTTCCACATGAAACCTTGTACTTCTTTGCTTTTACTTCATCAAATGGTTTGTATCTTTGTTTCTGAGGTCTCCCTGGCTGTCTTTTCCCAGCTGGTGGTTTTACAACTTCTTCGGCTACATGTTGTGGCACATTCTATTTGCTTTCGTCAAGCAGCGGGTCTACTGGTGTTTCATAAGTCTTCAAAAGACTCTCCCTCGTGTAATAAGGAGAACAATAGATTTCATAAGACTCATCCTTGTGCCTCATGGCCGCCAAAGCATGTGGACAAGGAAGTTCGTCAAGCTGGAACTGTCCACAACTACATCTCTTGTTTTGAAGGCAAACAATAAAGCGCTTCACACCGTCTAGCACTGTATGGATGTGGTCTGTTGAAGCCCTCACCTACAAATTCATTACAAGCACACAACTAATTATCATCAATATGTACAAAATAACTACAATTTTACAACAAGTTATCTACAATTAGCATTATATATTTAGTTTGATGAAATTTTTGATCTGATGTTACTGGATATAGCTTACTCTCATCTTCTGTGATAATGTTTTGTTGTCCTCCAACTCTTTGTTGTATTTTTTCCCAAGGTATGTTAATGTTCCCTTTGCTTTCAATAACTTTTCATTATTCCAACTTTCAAGAAGAGTCCTCATGTACTCTAAAGGTCTACTATGGGCAGCGTTCTTGCATATTTTGTTACCGCATTCACTGACCCTGCAATGTTTCACGTCATCGTCGACGTTCTGTTCACCGTAGCATGTACCCGAGACCATCTGTAATAGCTAATATCGTATAGGTATGCTTTAACACGCACGTCGATCTCTTCAATCTTTGACAATCTTTCATTAAATTCATCAATTGTGTATGATCGTGTCGTGGCAAAGTACAATTCGCTTAACTTTAGATGACCCTTCTTGAACTTTGACCTTACATTTGTCCAAATATGCCACATGCAAGCATAATATAGCATTCTGGTATAAACAGTAGATATTGCCTTCAAGACACTCTCATTCCGGTCCGAAACAATTCACATATTTGGTTTTTCACCATAAGTATCTTTGAATTGCTCAAAAAACTAATTCCATGCTGCGTCATTTTCTGAATCAACAGCAGCGTATGCCAGTGGTCATATGCTACCTATCACACAGGTGGCAAAAAGAAAGTCAATTTCTGTAATAAAATTTGATAGTATAAAAAGTGCATACTGAAAACAACTTTACAACAATATTTCTACAATGAATCTACAATACCTGTTGCATCCATTGTGCTGGCTGTTAACATTATTCCCCTATATGCCGACTTCAAGAAGGTGCCATCAACTACCACAACTGGCCTATAATACTCCTAACCCTTGATGGACGTACTAAGCGCAACAAATGCGTACAAGAAACAATCATCTTCAGTCTTCTTCAAATTAACGACCATCTCCGGATAAGTCTTCTCCAAAATATACAAATAACTTGGCAAGCGACTGTAGGAATCGGCAGGGTGACCTCTCAAAAATTTCAAAAGCCTTTTCCTTTGTTCTCCAAGCTTGCATGTATGTTAAGTTCACTCCATGATCCGACAACATGTCAGTTTGTATGTCTTTTGGTGTGTATATTGTCTTAGGATCCGTATATTTTGGCATCACCATGCTGCCAAACCATGGCAGTTGCTTTGCGTTGTATGTGTGTATTGTCCATCAAAGAGCATGTGTGCAAGCTGTTGAATTTTCGAACCTTGAACAATGCTGATTCGTTTATGCTGGTTGACTTAAATTGCCATGTACAATTGTCTCCAACATAAACCAGGCAGTAGCTACAGGAAAAAAGCAAGTTAAAAATTGTTATGAAAAATGTAGCTACAAAATAATAGGCTGTGTAAGCACAAAAATCTTATATTAAACAATTTATTTACAAAAAAAACTATAAATTTATTAACAATTATTTACAAAGAAAGTACTACCTATAAATAAAGAATACCAAACAACTACAAAATAAACACAAATATGAATTTGACAATTGAACTTTTCCTACCTTCTTGCCCTAGACCTCTTCACCCTAAATTGGAACATATTCATAACAGAATAGAGCTACATTGCATTGACAATTGTTTGCTTGTCTTTGTAGACTTGGCCTACTTCAATAACATTTGGTGTATGTTCTGTTATGATGTTATTTTCATATTCCACAATCGACGGAGATGTTGGCCTATCGATCAACATCACCGTTCCAGATGAACATGCACTCAATTAAAAGTATATACAATTCAGAAATATATTGTAGCTAATTTGTAGTAAAATTGTGCAACAATTGAAATTGAATACTTCAAAAGTTATAACAGTTGAACTACATTTGTTAGTTGTATCACTGTAGATATTGTGTAGAATAATTGTAGAAAATAACGAACTGACAGAACATCACCACTGAAAATACAGAGCAAACCTGCAATTGTGCTCGTATTAGAGATATTGCCTTCCAAATCGAAATCACGCACTGTTATACACATCGGATGCATTCCTAAGCTTCTGTTTTCCTTTTTGGTCTCCATGTATACTCGAACTCCCATATCGTTCCTAATTTCCATTGGAGGACATTGTTCATTGATAGTGTATTTGATTTCGATGATTTTCTCAGAGGTATTGATCATTAGATGCTCTGCAATTGCAGAATTCAATTGATTGTAATTTGAATCCTCACTGACTACAATTCCATTAACATTAAAATTGTTGTACCTCCCAAAGCTATCCCAATGGCCATTTAGCTGAAGCATAAAAGCTAAATTTGTCATTATATCGCGGAATTCAACATGATTGAAGATAAGTTTTTGCAATTTTTTCCCGCCAATTTTCGTTTCTAATTTTGAAACCAGATGAGATAGAGAAAATCTGAGTATTGAACTTGATTGTGCGACGTTGATGAGAGTAAATCGGCGTAATAGCAGGCATAATTAAGTTGCGAAGATCGCGTCAGTAAATTCTTCGAAGAATCCTCTGTGATCCCAATTTCCCGCGTCTAAAAAGGGAAGGCTAATGCAGAAAGGATTCCACTTTAAATAAATGTATATATTTGTAGACTAAATATGGGTAGATATATCGGATAATTATGTAAATATGAATATTTTTGGTAATAAAGTTTCTAATTTTGTATAGGTATGAAAAAATCCCGTAAATTTACAATTTAAACTCGCAAATAAATTCAAAGAAAAACAAAAACTAAATAGAAAAGAGAATATTTGGCAAAAGAAGCCAACTATTTTGATAGATATTGAAATAAATAAGCAAAAGCAGACAAAAGATTCTGCAAATGCTTTTAAGTTCACCGACCAAAAATCACAAATTAAAGGAAAATCCCGAATAGGCATAGGGAAGGAAGCAGTAAATTAAACTCCAGGTCCAAACCTATGAAGTCTATACAACTTCCTTTTTCAAATCGCCTGAGGAAGTCAATTCACGAACCTCATATATCCTAACAAAACCTCTATAGAAAACCCTTTGATTATTCCATTGGCTAAAGCAACCAATATCACAATCAAAGCAACAAGGTGCGCTCTTGACTTCATTTTATTCTTTGCCTTCTTCTTCTGTACTACTCCTTCCCTAACAACTGCAACCAACAAAGAAAAAAATAGTAAAATAAAATAAAGCGTCAAGAACAAATACAACTCACATCAGAGGCGGAGCCAAGATTTGAAGTTCTGAATTTTAATCCTTTTAAGTTACTGAGTTCTAGTTAAGTTAATAAAATGTTATAATCAATGCATTGTTTAAAATAAATACAGGATTTTGACCAAAGCAACCCTTGATTGTAGTTTTTAAACAAAGATTGTAACTTATATGCATTGACAATGCAAATAATTTTTGCACAATCGGTATATTATAACCTGTTAAAGTAGGTAATTTGTTTTAAATTTCAGGTTAGTAATCATTTTTTATGGACGGCTACCTATAATTATCTATTATGTGATCCCATCATGTGTGAGTTCGCGAGAACCCATAAGTTTTTTCCAAACCTTATATATGTACTCTCTCTTTTCACTTTTGCTTGTCCACTATTAACTTTGCACACCCCTTATAAGAAATAATAAATAAAGTGCATAATTTACCATGATACCCATATTAATTGGAGTATAGTCTTAGTAAATTTGAAAAAATAATTTGGAATGAGTAATTAATCTGAAGAGCAAAACAGAAAAAATAAATTATTTTTCTCTTGATATGCGAAAGTGGACAAGTAAAAGTGAAAATTTAATTTTAGAATAGTGAATAAGTAAAAGTGAATGGTGGGAGTATAAAGATATCCACCATAAATATTAGAGTGTGAATCTAAGTTGGTAATTTAACATATACTTACAGTTTAACATCAAGGGGTATCGGATAGAAGAGCAGCCCTGATCTTATCAACTGTGCAAGCAATGAGTCTGTTGACAGTAGCAACTGATCCAAGGGAAAGCTTAGAGGTAGGAACAGAATCAACCAAAATCTGAAATGCAATAGTGAGGAGAGATCCACCAGCAATTCTGCCTGGAGGACCATCTGGTAGTATAGCAAATCCAGAAGGTAGAAGCGCGACGTAATCAGGATCTCCACCATTTATTACTGTGTTCATAGCAGGAACATCAACTGGTGCATAAACAACAAATGATCCTGTTGGATCTCTGCTGCTCTCTTGCAATATCAGCATGTTGTTTTGTGTTGAGTTTGCACTACTCTGCATTTCAACAACCAAATATTGGAATGCGCGTTAATTAGTTAATCCATATAGAAATAATAATGACCCAGTAAAATTCCACAATTGAGGTCTGGAGAGGATAGTGTGTATGCAGACATTATTATCCCTCGGGAGTAGAGATGCTGTTTCATGAATCATAACATGGAAAAGAAAGTAAAAGTGAAGATTATATTTGCTTACATTCACTCTCAATATGGAGACAGAGTTGCCTTTTTCCCTGCCATTAGCAATATGAACCAATCTTTGAGTAACACCTCCATTGGATAGAATATCCCACTGTGATTAGAGAGGTACAAGTGCAAGAGTTAGGCTTCAATGCTTCTAGTAAAAAATATTCAAGACATCCCATCCCAAGATAGCCCGTGGCCCATGAGGCTTGACCAAGGTCGGTCTGGACTGACCTGTGGGCTAAATAATGTATTTAATTAAAAATATAAAAAAATATAGAGAACTAGAAAGTAGTCCAATCTCAAATTGGTAATATTTTTATGTGAATATAAATAATTTTTATTCTTAAAATTTTAGTTATTTCTTAATATTTAACTAATTAACATTTCATATTATTATAGATTTAACCGAAAATGAAGATGTTAAGATATCTTTGTTTCACAAGAGGATTCAAATGTATTTGATGAAGATGATTTGTTGGTGTTGGATATGCCATGAGCACTTTGAAAATATTTTTGAGTAGTTTGTTTTGAGTATTGACTTTTAACAAATGAAATGTTGTCCTCCTTTTTTGTGTTTTATAGTAATCTATTAGAGCAATATCAAATGTTATTAAGTTTTGCAAAGTGGTGGACCGGCCCGTGGGGGCCATGAACACGTAAGGCTGGGTCGGGTTGACTATTTTAAGGCACATTGAAACAGTGGGCCGGCCCAACGTAGCTCGTCAAATGCCAAAAGCCGCATGGGCTGGCTAGGCTGGGCTGGGTTAGCCCATATTGACAGCTCTACTTGTAAATCTTGTAGATTAGTTTCGTAAAAGAAGAGGGAGGGGAATCATGAGACAAAGCGTACCTCAGTCCTAGTGTTTTCATCACGGAGAAAATCAAACACTATTTTCGGAGAAATCGGGAGCCAGAAGGTAGTCGCAGCGCACATCACAATGCCAGGAGGTCTGCCTGGATCATTAATGCTTTTCCTAAACATGATGCGAACATCATTTTCTGAACCACTTCCTGAGAGAGTTGTCCATTGATGAGCTGCCGTAGCACTAACTCCAGAACAATAGCTAATTACCATTCTCTCCGCTAGCTTCAACACATTCCTTCTTCCCTCTGGACCTCCTAATACTGTATAGGGAAATGATTAAAGAAGATAAGAACGTCAATTCAGGAATTTAATTTCAAGAACTAAATTTATTTTTCACATCATTCAAATGGTGTATTATTGTACTTACTCATATTACTCATGTTATCGTCGGGTAAATTTGTGGCCATTGCACTTGCTAGCCGTTCACATTGTCTATCCAAAGTAGCAATCCAACGCTTTGCCCCGAATGCAAGGCCAGAATTCAAAAGAGGCTTGTAAATGTTATAAATTGCTATATCGTCTGCCTCTACATGCTCTATCCAGGTGACCTAGACCATGGTAAAATGTTGACTTATAAGAATTCTAATGTATAGTCTCGTCATTTAAATATAGACAAACTTGGTAGCAGTATTTCTTTTTTATAACCGAGAAACTTTGAAAGCTAGATGGTTCACGGTTCAAAATTTGGTAGACAATGAGCCCATTTCTTTACCATTATCCACTTAAATATCAGGCTTATAATACGATTATTTAGAAGGATTTACCTTTGAGTACCCATTTGGCATTGCTTGAATTAGGCATCCTGAGGGCCTTCGCCGGCAACTAGCAGTCGGGGTAGCACGCAGATAGTCGAGGGAAACGTCGACAACTGCCCATATTCCATCAACACTTCGTTTACAATATCTTACGAAGTAGCAATCTCGAGTTGGAACCTGTGGAAATGGTACTTGAAATTCTGCAAATATCTGCCAAAAACAATGAATAAGTGACACAAAATTAGAGGCAGTGAAATCTTCACTAATAATATAGGTATCCTAGTGCAAACAATAGATGAAGAAAGAAAAATTAATGAGGAAGAACATCAATGTATTACCAGTTGCAATGCTCCATTGAAATTTCCCACAACTCCAGTTGATAACACATCCACCGTAACAGCCGTCGACACAATACTTGAGAACATACTTGACCACTTATTCTGGTGATCAGAAGAACGACAAAAGATATTACTCGCTCTGTTTCAATTTAAGTATTTACTCCAAAATTGCCTAGACTATTAATTGGTAGTACTTGAAATCAAATGTTTATTCTAAAGTTCACAATTTCCTATATATATATATATATATAAAAAAACAAAGAAGAAGAAGAGTCTGCGTCCACGCAGCTTTCGGGGAAAGACCGCACCCCAAGGATGTAATGTACACAGTCTGCCCCAATGCAAGCATTAGTGGCTGTTTCCACGGCTCGAACCGGTCGTGATATAGTTGAAATTATAAATTCCTATATATAGCTGAAATTGTAAATAGGAGTAAAATGAGTGTACCGCGTCCATGAGAATTTCAACCAAGTTGATAGGATTCAAGAAAACAACAGCAGTATCTTTTGAAGCTTCAGTCTTAAATCCTTCAAGCTTAGGTCCAATTCCTATAGGGAATAATCTAACATACTCTTCTTCATTTAGAAAATTTGTTCGACCATCAACACTAGGCAACCAAAGTGGTTCTCCCATTTGAGCCATTTGAATAAACTCTTCCATTGCTGCAACTGCTAACTCAATTATTAACGGCTTCTCGGCTTCTGTTGGTCCGTTAAATGATGATCTTATAACCTCTCCGTTATTTCCAAATGCATTTACAAGATCAAGTGAACGAGGCGGAGTTACTGAAGGCGAGTAATTAACGTTTAAACTCGAAACTGGCTTGCCCACATATTTTGCTGCCAAAGCTGAAATTCGATCAACCTGCTTGAAAAGAAAGGTCAAAAAATATAAATTAACAACCAAAATCTTGCAAAATATGTAAATACCATTGAGTCACTTTTTTTTCTTTTAATTTACCTCTTCTTTTAGTCGAGCATTTTCGATCCTCAATTGATTTTCTTCATATGACATTTCACCTAAACTGATTTGTGGGCCGCCACATATAGGGCAAGAAGGGCAAGAAGTAGCATTGTTGAGAGCTTCACGGAGTTGCACGTGTTCAGTCCTAAGCTTTTCATTTTCATCTCGAAGTGATGAGAGCTCGGAGCGCTCGTTTTGATTCTGCAAGGGAATAATAGCTGGAAAAGTTACATATTCCAAAAAAATTATGTCTACTAGCTAGCTAGTCCATATACGTAATTGTATACCTGACTATACATATATTATATATCTGTCATCTACTTTTTTATAGACGGGCTATAGAGGTAAAAATCCCATAATAGTTCGCACCCACAAAATAGAAAAGTTAGAAGGACTAAGCTTGTTAGTGCCATTCGTGAATGATTAGCAAATTGCGTCACAAGGGTACAAAATAAATAGGAGTATCTTGATTAAGTGCTTGTTATATTAAGAAAATGACGGTTCAAGTGTGAATGCATTTAATTACAAAAAGGGTCAAAAGTTTTTTAAACTGGATCTACTATTTTAACAGATACTCCCTCCGGTCCAAAATAAGTGATTTTTTAGATGTTTTCACACAGATTAAGAAGTCCATCTTTTAGCATTAATTAGCAATGAAATTGACCATATTAACCTTTACTATCTCACATAAACACTCCTAACACATACTCCAACACTATTTACTCCAAGTACAATGTAGGAAAAAAATAATTAATTCATTCTTGAAATCTGAAAAATCACTTATTTTGAACCACAAAAAAAAGGCCGAAAAATCACTTATTTTGAACCGGAGGGAGTAATTAAGAACAAGTGTCTGACTCCAAGTCTAGAGGAGTGGGGATGTTGTTCGTACTTCATAAAACAAGCACTATTTTGGTACAAAAATGAATTATAGTATTATACCTTCATTTGGGTACGCTTATTTTGGAACCAAAATTTCACTTGTAGCGGCTCTAACCCTAGTTCATGACTGAGCTCCTTCCTTTGCTTGTCATCTGGGTGTGGACACTTCTTAAAGAAACTAATCACAAAAAAATAATTACAGATTAATAGCATAAATAAATTAAAGTTGAACAAAAAGAAAGAGAAGCAAAAACAAACTCTAGTTAATTTTTTCATCTTTTTGTTTTGTTAGTTCAGAAACCGCTATTCGAAATCTTAGTGAGACATTGTGACGTGCTTACTTTTCCATTTCTTGGATCTGATGCTGAGTGTGGCGGTGATAGCTCTTTCTCCTCTCAGGCTGATTAGCGTCTTGTTCATCACTGGATTTGCCTTCTTGATTATTGTCATGACTACCGGATTTGCTGTCGAATTCCTCCTCCGTTAGCAGCGGCATTAGTTTACTTTCCGATGTGTTTGACGCCATGTCCAGTGAATGAAGCTGACTTTCCATTATATTACCTGACTGCTATACAAATGATAGAATGTTCACAGACTTTAAAAAAATATTGAACATCAAATTTTCGAACAGATAAAAATAGAGTTAATTCACTGTTGCTAGGACATTTTATTTCTATTTCTTTGTTGCACAATAATAACAATATATCCAGCGTAATTTCACAAATAAGTCTGAAGAGGATAGTGTATACGCAATTTACTTTTGTTTTATGCCGGTAAAGAGACTGATTATGAGAGACCAGTTCTGTCTCTTTGTTGCATAAATAAATATACACAAATAGAAGTTTGAGAAAAGGACACAAGTCGTTTTCCAAAAAAAAAAAAGGGGTCTATTTATATTAGTGTATGTCTCAGTGGATAAGGACCAATGTTGAAAATGTGTGAAAACAAGCCTTTGGTTTGACCATAATTTATACTGTCTCTCCTTTAGGCCCCAGGTGGATGTGAGTTGGTTGGGTGGATGAGGCTAAGACCTAGACGCGATTTTCAGTTCTCGAGAAGGATTTTACTCGAAAAGGCAAAAATGACTATTGGTGAACACGTTAGCGAGATTAATCAATAAGTATTGCTTTTTCCCTTTTCGGATTCTATCTCCTTTCGTGGGCATTTGGACATAAGAATTGTGAAATTTCGAAAAAAAGTAAAAAAAGTTTTAGAGAGATAATGGTATTTTAAAATTAGAGTTACATATGGACATGAATAATTTGGAACTGTTTTGAATTTTTTGTGAGTTATTTGAAGAGAAATTTTAAAAAATTACTTTTTGGAGTTTTTCAAATTTTAAAAAAAATTTTAAAAACTTTAAGTAAAATTTAAAATTTTCATGACCAAATATTGATTTCCAAAAGTAAATAATTTCTGAAAAAAAAGTGATTTTTTATGGTCAAACAAGACCTGTTTTTTGGCGCGAGGGGTATTTTTTTTTTTCGTTTTTGTTTTTCTTTCCTTGTGTGGTGTTCTACAGGTTTCGATCATACTATTCCAGATTTATGCCGCGTAAGATTTACTTGCGGAAACACATGAATATTTTCCATCTTAAAGCTTCATTATTAATTTTAACTTTTCAATGAAGAGTCTATTAATAATGACGAATTCATTATTGATGACAGTCTAACTAAAGAATAGCCCAGAAATTCCATCTCCACAAATGCCTAACAAAACATGCATTGCTACAGTAGTAGTGAGGACTTCATAAAGGCACATAGAAAACTAAAAATTTCAAAAAAAAAAAAAAAACAACAACAACAACAACAAAAGAAAAATAAAAAGTATTTAGAATTTACCTGACCAAGCGGGAGTCCAGAAGATGAAGAAACAAATCCAACATCATTCCCATCATTTGCAATCATCGACGAAAATTGGTTTGCCGGATTCATAATTCCGTCCTACTTTCTCCACTCAGCAAAAACCCTAAAACAGTGTAACATAGTATAAGAAAAGTCAACGAGAAACTCCTTAGATTTATATTCTTAATCATTTCTATTTCATCTAATTGATTTTTCAAACTACAACTCCATCCGTTCCAATTTATGTGAACCTGTTTGACTGGACATGAATTTTTTATAAAGAAATAAAGACTTTTGAAATTTGTGGTCCCAAACAAGTCAAAAAGGGGTCCAGAATATTTGTCTGATTATAAAAGCTTCGTAGAATTATAAGTTTAAACTAAATTATTTCCAAATTTAGAAAGGCGTCATTCTTATTGGAATAGAGCAAAAAAGAAATAAGTTCATGTAAACTAATTAAACTGAAACAGAAGGAGTAAAAGTTATATACTAAACAGCTGCTTAACTCAGGAAAATTGGTGGGGGTGGGGGGGG